TACACGGGCCAATACAAATATTATTTAATTTTCTTTAAACATAAGACATTAATTCCGTAAAACCTATATAAAATATATATTTTGATTCCGTGTCACGATGTCATGTCCAACCGATGTTAGGTCGTTCATCAGCGATCAACTTGTAAACACGACGAACAAACTGCTGGCTGTAAAATATTGCTGCATTTTTGATCACTTGTCATCCCTGCATGATGGACGATCGGAGCAGGAGACAGCACATCGCATTGGTGGACCTGCGGCCAGTGGTCCAGTAGGTGCTCCCTTCGCCTTCTCCTGGATGTGGAACTCCAGAACAGTTTCAGTCGGAGACGAATTCCGCAGAACCTGTTGACAACACTTGTGCGACAAGCGAAACGATCTCGCTTTTTGCCTCCGCTATTTATTATGTTCAACTGTTTGACTCGATTCGATTCGATGGTGGAAAAAAGTGGTGGCCGAGGTGTCGATATCGCACAATGATTTTAATGATGGGATCGAACCGAACCACTCGCCACAAATACAAAACAAAAAACCAAACATTTGAACGCGGCCTGTTGCAGCAAATCGCTGAGATGCCAATGCTGATAATCAATAATTTTTATATTTCTGCCACATCGCTGGTCGGCTTTTGCCATCCAGCTCAAAGGAGGACTCGAGGAGGATGGCTTCTTGCTGTGTCAGCTCACCCCTTGGCCAGTCACAGGACATGACAATAATCCTTAATTACAGCTCACCCAGAGCCAGCGAAATTCGACTCATAATTGGAGTTCAATGATTCAACCACAATCTTTTTCGATGGGGGAGATTTAAAGTGCTTACTTTCATTTTTACACAGGAAAATGAATAATATTTTTTTTAACTTGCTTACTTTCATTTGTACTTAGGAAAATGAAGAATATTTTTTTAACTTGATATAACTCGTTACAAATTGCAGATTACATATGGTGTTTTTAAAATAATATATTTTATTTGCCAGTTTTCGTATTTTGTTTCGGTGTATTACGTCAGAAATATTTATGGAATAAGTTTATCAGTTTCATTACAAACGAAATCCAGATAAAACTATTTCAAGAAATGGGAGGCTAAGTCCATAAATCATGTTCATGAACAATTTTTGAATAATAATCTTTAAGTTTTAATTGTCTTGGGATACATTTCGTCTCAAGTTAAATAAAATTAAACATAATACTTATAAATAATTTGTACCAGTCATATATCGATAAGAATTTCGTTTTTTTAAATTTCTTGCTGTTTAAGCTTTTTAAATATCATAGTCTTTGAATTTGAGAACTCCATTCCACTTTGCAGTTACCTTTGATTTCTTGTTTGAGTATTCCGTATGCAAAACAAATTGACAGCCAAAGCGAGTTTTCCTTTCACGGATTTGGCAATGTTCGATAGTGTCAAGTGGAAGGTCTCCTGTGACTACGACAGACTTGACTTAACCCCAACAGCAGCAATCCCACATATTCTTTTATTAATGCTGCAAAAGAGCAATGGTACATTTTTGCGTGGAAAAGTGCCAACAATTCCATCAAAGCGCAACCCTTTGAGTGTTGAATTTTCCTGTCACGTCAAGAGAGTTCCCCTTCAACCAATTTTCACACATTTTCCCCCGAACGCAAAACATTGAAATCGCATTCAGCTGATTAGGTTCGAGGTGTCTGAAGGGGAAATTGGGGAATTTCCACTGGTAATGGTGATTGCCAAACCGCTTACGACTTTTGGCATGGAGTTCGCATACCTAGAATCAATGTCGGCAATTAAAAACCTGGCCTAGAGTTTCGCAACTACAGGGGAAGAAGATACAGAAGCAATTGCTGAAAAGACAATTTGATGTGCAATAAAAATGTTGGCCTCGACAATCCGAAAAGGAGACCCCCAGGAAAATGGGAGTTGCGAAATTGGATTTCTGACCCTTTGGCCAGCCATGTGTGAAGGTCCTTGGCCATTTCTATTTGCATCTAATACATAAACATAATGCGTTAATTTCAAAGGAACTTGGCAAGGAGAAAAAAAAATATATGCAAACAAACGAAAAATATTTCCTTTTTTTTTCTGTGGGTGGTAATCAAATTTGCGATGTTTTTTTTTTGCCGCATCTTACTGAATTGCTTGGCTGGGTATTCCCACAGGATTTCGGGGGGTGACCGCAGGACAGGACACACAGGACATGAGCGATACAAATAAACAAATGATGTAAATTTCATTTTCCAGGACTTTGCATTGCTCAAATATGAAAATATGAAAAGCCAGGCCCTTAAATAAATTACATGAAATTTATTTTGCAGTCGAAGGAGATTCAGGAAAAGACCAAAACTATTTGGAGAGTTGGGTGTTTGGGGTGTCTGAAAGTCCCTTTCGGAAATATTAGATTCATCAAAGTTCAGCAGATTTGCATTTATTTCACATTTGTCATGGACCAGCTGCTGCCAAAGGGTCTTAAATGTCAGCCTCATCATCGGACTGCCGGTGCAGACATTAAAAACCACTTTTCGAAGGCGGAAAATCCTCAAAATGATTGGCATTAGCCAAATATATATGGAATGAAAAATGTCAAATAACTCCGAGATTCACGCACAAAATGTCAATTTCAATTTAAGGCTTCGAATGAAATGAATGATTCGGTTTTAATTCTGGTGGAGCAGGTTGTGTTGGGATTTTCAAGGGTGGTGCGTCATGGTTTTCCCAATGAGTTTCCCAACTCAAGTGGGAGTTTTCTTTTGCCTACCATAAAATGTTATGAATTAGCATATTAATAGCTTCGATAGCGTTAGTTATTCGACTTGAAAATCAGGAGATCACGCGGCACATACTCATCCTGCCGCACAGGACACTCGCGGGTGCCATAAAAAATTCACACAACAGCAATTCTGCAGCTCAGAACCCAACGATTAAAATTATGCAAACGCATTATATGGTAGCCTGCATTTTCCGAGTGGAATGGGATGTATGTATCTAGGGAGCCATGGGCCGTAAACACTCAATATTCGTTGCCGCAGGAAAAGATTCTCTTTAAAAGTAAATTGCCTATAGGCAGTCTCTATGCAAATGTGGAAATCGCACGGAGCACTTAAAACAAATCCAGATAGAGACATCTGGAGCAGGGGAAAACCTATTATAAGTGTTCCCTGGCACAAAAGGTTCATAAATCAAGTGTAATATTGTTTTTGGATACGGCAAGTGGCTGTACGATACTTATGAAGTTTTAATTGCCTTGTGACACTTTCCTTTAAATTGTGTAAGGATTATCAATAGCTATAAATTTAAAAAAAACACTAATCACAAATTCAAAATTCCTTTAAATCGATGTTGTTTATGTGTCTTAGGTAATGTTTACTCATTTTGATTATTGGTTAATATTTGGCTGCCTAAAACCACATAAATCGTTAGATATTGAAAATCTATAATGTCTAGGGGGTGTACCATACAAAAAAGGATTGAGAAATGTATATCAGTATGAAAGATTTCGAATCAAAAGAGTTTTGTAATAATTTATAAGAAATAAATTAACTTTTTTAGCTGTTAAGGATAAAAGATCATAATAATTTACAAATAAATCTTTAAGAAATGTAATTAAGGGTATAGTTTTATAGACCTTTAAATGGGTTTTAAGATCTCTAGATTAGTGTAATAATATTAAGAAATTTATCAACTTCTTTGGCTGTTAAAAGGTAAAAAACAATAATAATTTTCTTCAAAGGCTGAAGTTCTCTCACCCGACTTTTTAAAGGAGGATTGATGATTGGGGAGGAGGATTAAGGGCGGGGGCAAGGATGTTGATCTGAGTGCAGGACAATTACCACAACTGCCAGCCGGGAAAGTGCAACTGTGTGCGCTTTGTGCTTTGCCTATCTTGCTGCCTATTCAAGTGTCCATTTTTAATTAACACTCTGACAATTTGACGCGAATGGAAATGCATTTCGAGTGAGTGTGTAACCACGTGCGACCATGTGCGATTGTGTGTCCTTATGTCCGTGTGCAAGGACTAATGTTGCCACTGCGGCGTATGCATGCCGATGAGGATGAGCCTCTGGTTTTGTGGGGAGCTGAGAGCTCTGCGCTGAATGTTTAGAATGCAATTGACGTGTCAGAGGGCAAATGCACTGGGTGGAGGGGGTTCGAGGGGGAAGAGGGTTCAGGACATCAGACAATAAAGGGGGGTGGCTGATAAATGTTGCATGCGCCTGTGTAACCCAATTACCGTTCTGCAAATTACCCACACCAGGCTGCAAGGATTCGTGTGCCGAGTTTGGCGGAGTTTGGGGCCACATTCCTAGACTCGCTTTGCATAATTGATGACAAATTGAAATCATGTTTATGGCATAGAGGCTGGGACATTCCATAAAATATTTTACATAGATTTTTGATGCAGACAGTCTTCGCCTCAAACCCATCTGGACTTTCCCTTTTCCTCGACTTTTTCCTAGGCCATAAATCCCGGACTGGCCAGGCCAAATCAAATGGCCAATGGATCAATTTGCGGTTGATGGAGCTTAGCCGCTTGAGTCTTCCTCTCGGGGCTCGTAAATCGCCATGAGTGGGGGCCATAAATTTTCAATTGGTCAGTGGGTGAGGAAAGGGTAAAGGACACTCCACCACAAAAAAAGAATAAATAGCCTAGCTGGTAGTTAGCTAACATTAAAGGACAATTTTCCATTTAGAGGGGTCTTAAATCTAAGCAGCGTTAAATGCTTAACTATAGAATATTTGTCGATTAGCATATTTCAAATTGGAACCTTTACACATTAAGTTTGTTAAAAAAAAGACTATTCTAAAGGGAGTTACATTGTAGAGTGAAAGACTTTGTATAAGATTTGACATCCAACTAAACTGAATTCGCTTTTCTATAATTTTTAATTTTTGGACTGAAATGCGAAAGGTATAAATGCCTAGCTTTAAGATTGTGTTAAGTAACTTCTATACATTAAGCTTTGCTAGCTTTAAGAATTATTGATAATAATATTAAAATTAAAACCAAAAGAACTAGGACTTATAACTCATCTCAAAAATGTAAATTCAAATTGCTAAACAACCAAATTTTCAGTTAGAAGGGTCTACTTTTCAATCTCGGCCAGAAAATGTCCATTACTCTGAAGCGGAGAACGGTGATTTCGCCGCAGGACCTCCTGAAGACACTCACTTTATCTGGTGAAGAGGATCTGGACCTGCAGATCAAGAACTGGGTGATGTGGGACCGCAATGAGGCGACGCTGCACCAGGTGACCGAGGCGGTGAAGGATCAGGATTGGGAGGCTCTGCGGGTGAGGCTGTGCCACAGGATCACCTATTTGTCCACTGGCCTGAGGGGTGGAATGCGGGCTGGCTTCGACTCGCTGAACGATGTGGTGATCATCGAGGTGGCCCAAGGCATTTGTGCCTACCTCCTGGATGTCTATCCCAGTATCCAGAAGCGGCAAACCCAGGGCGTGGTGGTGGGCTACGATGGAAGGTACAATAGCAAGCGATTCGCCCAGCTCATCACCACCGTGCTGGCAAACAATGACTTCAAGGTGTACCTCTTCACCCGGATGACTCCCACACCCTTCATCCCTTTCTCCATTGTGACCCTAAAGTGTTTGGCGGGTGTGGTGGTCACCGCATCACATAATCCCAAGGAGGACAATGGCATCAAGGTGTACTGGACAAATGGAGCTCAAGCGATGGCGCCGCACGATCAACGGATTCACGATTACATGCTGAACAACCTGGAGCCAAAGCCTTCGTCCTGGGAAACTTCATCGCTGATTGATCATCAGTTTGTGGAGGATCCCTACCGTCAGATATATCCGCTTTTCTATGCAACTTTGAAGAAGCTAGTGCCTCCGATTTATCTGGAGACCAACGAGTGCAGTCAGTTAAGGTTCATCTACACAGCTCTCCATGGAGTGGGCTATCCCTTCATGAGGGAGGCCTTCTACCAGGCAAGACTTAAGCCCGTGATTCCAGTGCTCGAGCAAAAGGATCCGGACCCGGAGTTCCCCACATTGACCAAGCCCAATCCGGAAGGTGAGTAATGTGTACTTATGGGTTTTGATATAGCAAGTTTGTTGCTTTAAGCAAAATATATGTTTTATTAGTTGGTGATAGACGATAAATTCAATTTCAGTGCGACACAGAATATCAAAACCTTTCAGATATTTTTCTCTACTTTAAGAGGACAGTTCATTTCATTACATTTTAGACATACATTTATGTACATTTCTTTCGCTGGGCAGTTCGTTTAAAAGAGTAAGTTTGTTGCATAAACAAAATCTATGTTTTCTAAGTTTGTGGTAGACGATGTATCAGCAGCCAGTCAATTTCAAATATATACTCTAAATGCTACACATAATATAACAAAAATTATCTTCTTTTAAAGGGCAGTTCGTATTAAAGTCTTAAGCAAAATATATGTATTATAAGTTGCTGGTAGATGTTACTTATTGAATATCAGAAATTGATTTAAGATAAAAATTGGTGGTAGACGATGCATCAGCATGCATAAAATTATATTTTAGATTTTCTATTTTTACAAAATATCAAAACCATTTAAATAATTTAATCTTTTAGAGGGCAGGGAAGCCCTAAAGCTGGCCATCAAGAAGGCGGAGGCGGAGCACTGCACCCTGGTCCTGGCCAATGATCCGGATGGTGATCGCCTGGCCGTTGCGGAATTGGATCCCCGAGGTCGCTGGAAGGTGTTCAATGGCAACGAACTGGGCGCTTTGCTGGGATGGTGGTCCCTGGAGAACTACAAGACCATGACGGACAAGCCGGCGGTTTCCAATTGCGTAATGTTGGCCACGCTGGTCAGCTCGCGAATCCTGGCGGCGATGGCTCGAACGGAGGGATTCGTTTTCGTGGAGGGAATGACGAGCTTTTCCTGGTTGGCTAATCGGGCCTTGGACCTGCAAAAATCCGGAAGGACGGTGCTCTTTGCCTTTGAGGAGTGCTTTGGCTACATGTTCGGGATGAGTCTGCCGGATAAGGATGGAATCGGAGCAGCCATGCAATTGGCCACCATGGCCTGTCATCTGCGCAGCTCCCGGAATGTGACCCTGATCGAGAAGCTGAGGGAGATCTACGATACCTACGGCTACCACTCCTCGGTTTCGTCCGTTTTCATGGCTGACAGTCCAGATACAATCACAGCGATCTTTGAACACTTGCGCAATTTCACGGATGAAGGTGGCTATCCCATTTGTATTTTGGAGGGCGAATTCGATGTGGTCCATGTCCGGGACTTGACCACTGGACTGGACACCTCCGTGGACGACCAAAAGGCCCGCCTGCCCGTCAATCCAGATGCCCAACTGATCACCTTTACCTTCACCAATGGCTATATAGTCACCCTGCGATCGGCTGGCGGCGATGATATCAAGATAAAACTCAATGCAGAGATATGCGGTTTGCCGCAGGAGAAGGAGTGGGACGAGCTCCACGACAAGCTCAATCGGATGACCAACGCCGTGGTCGAGGAGTTCCTCGATCCCGAGGAGAACGGACTCACCGATTCTTCGGTGATTGTACAACCTTAATTTCACGCTCGGTTTATTTAGATCTTTTTTTTAAATAAAGGCTAGTTAATACAATCTAAAAGAAATGATTAATTTCTATACCATTCTATAATAGATTTCTGGAACCCTACAACCTTAAGGGAAATCATGCATGTACTTTTAAACTGATTTAAAAAATTTAATTTTTGTTTTCGTTTCAAAAAGATTATTGTAATTTATTTTTAACTTAAATTATGGGACGATAGTTTTGATCTGTTCTGGTAACGTACAATTTTAATAAGTTTATTGTTCTAAAAAAATGATATACTTAACTTTTCACTTTGTGATTAGATGAAAAAAAATATGAATAATTTCCTAGTTTGTCATGGTTTGTTTACCAGATTTAAGAAAAATCGTTGCCCTTGCCTTTTGCCTATTAAAGTGCTGTGAAAATGTCTTAGGTGAAGATGGGGAGCTGAAAAAGCCGCAGAACGCCAATTAAGCGTGCACAGAAATTGCCAACCATGTGGGTTATGTGGGCCAAGGAGGGGGAGTCCAAACATGGCCAACATCATCCTTTGTTTTCCCACCACACAGACGTATCTGTATCTCTAACCGAGCGAAAGTATCTGGCAAGACAAACACTGAAATTTTATAGTTTGCCTGCTAATTGCACTCTGGGGGTGCTTTCACCTCCCACACCTCCCACACCCTACTATACCACCCACTCCACCCCCACTCCAGTACGCTCCACCCCCCTGATTGTGTGGTAATCGCTTCCGATTGTGCGAATCAGCAAAAGTCAGCTCACATAATGAAAACAGTGATTAAGAGTTGGCTGGGCCATCAACATGTAAGTCGTTTTGGAGTTTATAACATACAAGTACATGGCTCATTGTTTCATCTTGGTTTTCGGGTACACCTCCACACATATCACATATTTGTTTAGCAGGTCAAACGGAATATTTCAATAGCTGGAAAATGAAGAGTGCCCAGGTAAACAAGGCGATGATCCCCGAGGTCGTCGTCAAGTCAAATTTCATTCGAGACAAAAGGTTGGCCCCCACTCACATGGCCATTAAATTTTCCCTAAAATACATACTCGAACTGGGATCCAAACGCACACGAATTAAATATTAATCCCTGTCGACGAGTGGGTTTCTTGTATTTTTTGCTGTTTTTCTTGTATTTTTGGATGGGTTCCGCCACGTTTTACACGGTTAGTGGCGATGCGCCAAGGTTAGTGCATTATTAAGCACTGTTTATGCGACATTAGGAACATAAAAGGCGACCCAAAGTCGATGTAAATAAGACACGGGCCCCTGGCAAATCAACAAAATAAAACGAATATCCCACATGTGGGTGGATGGGTCTCCTTTTGCGTTTGGTTTGAGGGTATTTCAAAATTTGGATACTGCCATTAAAATAACTAAGAGGCTTTCGGGTTGTTAAAGCGGGAATATTGAGTGAGACATGTTATTTATAGGGGGTGGATTTGAGGACTTTTCGTGGATTAAAATGCTTTATTTGAGAGTGCCTTACAGAGTCTTTTAGCTAAAGAGTTGATTTGGTGAATTATTAAAGGCAGTGCTACATTTTAAATAGTTTTGGCTTAATACTTTTTTATACTCTTGCGAGGGTATTATAATTACAGTCAATTGACCCACAATTCGACTTCCAGAGTCTGATTTTAAAGTGACATACCTCTAAAGACTTGTGGATTGATTCTCTAAAAATTATCATTTAAATTTTTCATTTTGGAGTTGATCAATATTTTGACCCATTTTCATGTTGGTTATTTGTAAGTTTCCGACGACATGTAAAATGGTGACCCACACAATTGGACTTCCAGAGTCTATAACTTTACCAAATTTAGGCCGATTTTAAAGTGACATACCTCTAAAGTCTCGTGGATTGATTCTCTAAGCATTCAAATTTGTCAATTTTAAGCTGATAAATTTTTTAACCATTTTCATGGAAGTTATATTAAAGTTTCCGATACTGACTAAGTAATGTTATTAAAACTTAAATTTTTAAAAGATAATATAAGCATAAGGTGTAAATTGATAATGTAAATCTTAAGGATTTATCATGTATATGTTAAAATAATAGCTTTATATCTGTGGCTGGATTTCTTTCTTTCTTTGAAATATACAAATACAATTATATTTTGCAAGGTCTACAACATCATATAGAAATTTGTTCCGTTTAAAATTGGATGCAGCCGCACAAATTGGATTTTAATCCGTTTGCAATGCAGAATAAACCTACAATTGGAACCGCTGGGTTGTTCACCAATAGGATTCTGAACATCCTGGCCCTGTGGCACATATGTTGTGGATATTCTGTTACACCAGCCGGAGTCCGCCGTAATGAGGACCGACCGTAGAACCACCCTCAGTCCTCGTCCTCGTCCTCGAATGGCCACAAAAAAATACGGGGTGCCAGCGGCACTGGGACAATGGTATCTTAAATTCGCATTCGAAATGAGGCGAGCGGAGTGCGCTGGTAAATTGATTACGTGCCACTTGCTCACATCATCAATTTCAGTCCATATGCGCGAAAATCCTTTGACTAACGAGTGCCACAGGACTAAGGACATAGGACACAGTACACAGTATACAGGAACCCTGCAATCGGCGGCACCCACAAATTGTTAGTTGACACTCGAAATTTCTGGTGTTCAGCATCGTTAATTAAGAGCATTTGTTGACTTCCGCTGTGGTGACCGTTTATTTGCTGTTTGTTTTTCTTTACACCCGATTTCCTGCGGTTTCGAGGGAGGCTGGTTGGTGATTGTAATCACAGGATTATGATTTTGATACCAGAGTGACATCAAGTGTTTGGCGGCTGAAGGACTTATCTAAAATTAAAGTTAAAGTTTTGAATTATATCGTCTGTGAAGAATAATTTCATATAATTTAGTGAGTTTCTAACCAAAAGGCGCCTTAAGTTATTTCTTAAAAACTACCACTTCTTAAAATTGAGTAAAAATGCGGTGCTTGCTTTTTTTCATAGTGAAATTCTTAATTTTAACCAGCATTTATTTGTAAATGTTTCTGTTTAATATACTAACAGTTGGCTTAACAATTTGTACACATATGTGGACACAACTTTTCTGTTCAAAAAATAAGTTTTTTTAATTGCCCAAATCAGTAAAAACTATCATTCTAAAATAGTTTGCTAAGCTTCAAAATATTAAATAAACCAAGGCAGCGATTTTTAAGTTTCCTCTTCCATAAAAATAAACAAAAAAGCTGGGATTTCTACACACATTTTTTTTTTGGAAAAAAAATAGTTCTTAGTTCTATACAAAATGTTAATTCAATCAATAATTCATCAGTTTTACGGCAGCTGCAAGGATCATCGTCCTTCGCGTTGCCCCTCACCCCCTCTAGTCGCATCTCTTTCTAACAATTTGTTTTTACTGTTTTATTGTTTTCGTTTTTGTCGCATAAAAATGACAACAAATTAGTTTGGCTGCCGTCGGTGGTTTCCCGCTGGGTTTTTCACAGTTTTGTTCGATATCCGTTTGTTTGTTTGCTTTTTTTTTTTTGCCTGTCTTTCCCGACTTCGTGTCCTTGAGTGCTGGCCAATAAATTATGTGAAGGATGCTGTCACTGCAGCGCCTCACTCCCCTAAAATCGGGCAATTCGGACGGGGTTAAGTCTAGGGATCAGGGTTTTTTCGAATCCAGCGAGGGCGCGACGTGTTTTTGATTAGCTTTATTAAATATGCAAACAATGAAATTGTTGTCCTGTTTTTTCCCATATTGTTTTTGTGCACAAAAGTGTAAAATTCGTCGGATGCTTAATTGCCGCAACATTTCTATTAAATAAACTCAAAGGTACATAGATGGAAAAAACCTGAAAAAATGTTTAATTTAATATGCATTGCTTACAATATTTCCGTGGCAGACACAACCCTCCAGATTTCACGGCAAACAAATTGCTGGTAATGCATTTTAATTTTGTTTGCTTTTTTTTCTTGCTCCTGCAATAAATAACATTTTTTTAATACAAATTTGAAGTGAAAAGTGCTCATAATTTAGCTCTGCATCTTGGGTGCGACTGCCAATTTACATGTTTTTCCCGTATTCCGCAGCTGTATGAATATTTAAAAGAAATGTGTTTTTTAAACTTGAATATAGAAAAATTATATTTGACTTTGGTCAGTTTGCTTTTCTCTTTTCCCTTTAATTTCTTTCACTTCTTATAAGAAGCAGCCAATAAGAACTAAATGTTGCTGTAAGAGAAATTCCCAGCGGCTAAGAGAAAGGCGAAAAGAGTCAAGACCGAAGAGAATGGAGAACTGCTTTATCGACGCACACTAAATTCGACTGCTTTCTAAATTGGAATTTATAAATTATATAGAAACTACATTTTTACTTAGGATTAAAAATGAATTTAATGGAATTTAAATTCAAATTAAGTGAAATATTTTTTGTCCTAAAAAAAAATACAATTTTATTTAACGATTGCTTACATTTTTTCAATAGCTTATAATGGTTGTATATACAACATTAATTAAAATGTTAAAAACAAAAATTTTTAATTCGAATGGTTAGTGGAGTGCCGAGTGGAGTTACAAAAACATCCTTAATTTTTGATAGAAAAGTGTTAAACAAATATTTTATGTATTATTAAGTAAATATGTAATATAACCAGCAACATGTTGAGAATTGGCAAACAAGACTTGATATTTAGATTTATGCTTTGTTTATTTGTTTGTATCAGATGTTGTTGCTGCATTGTCACCATTTTGGAAAGTGGGTTCAGTGGGTGGGGATCAGAAAAGTGTGTGGAAAAGTGGAAAAGAGTTACGAGAAAGCGAATGGAAGGGAAAATGACCCATGGGAACGCAACGGAAATCTACGTCTGCATATGGAGATGCTATTGCTCTTATCCCTGCTGCTCATGTTGTTGCTTTCGTTACTGTTGCCATTATTTTGGGTGAAATTTTCACCCTTTTGCAAGGACACCACCTCCCGATTACCCCCGCATGTGGAAAAACAGTAACAAATAACTGAAACGTCAGAAAAGTGCACATATTGCATGAAAAAGGGTTCATTAGCAGCATCAATTAAAGTTAGAGATCCGAAAAGGTTAGTTACAAAAACCCAGTTAGAAAGATATAATTATATTTTAAGGGCTATGAATGGGTATGAAATTATTTTAATTAAAATGAAAGTATATATTAAACTAAGGTTCAGTTATTTATAAATAAGTAGGCAAGGTCACAATTATGTTCCGTTTTTCTCAAGAGTTACATTTATTTCATACAGTTTGAAACATTTTAAGCTTTAAAAAATTCACTTCTTATCTTAAATAGTTTTTTAATGGTTGGCATCCTGAGAAAGCTTTGAGTTATTTATATTAATCTTATCTTAAGATAACCACCTTTAGTCAACCAATGGTTAAAGGTATTTATCCTAAATCATTTCAAATTGGTCTTTTTCATCCTTTCAGATTTCCATTATTTGTTTGCTTCCAGTTTTGCCATCAATTATTACCAGCAATTCTGTCAATCTCCCAGGAAAAGAGGAACTCTCAGACTCTTCTGTTTTTCCACTTTTCGACTGGGCATTGTTTAACAATTAACGGAACAAGTTGCTTAACTTTACCTAAACGATTTAAGTCAACAGAGCTCTTTACTCTTCACTCAGCCTCCTTCACTCCGCGTTGTCCTTCACTCCGCGTTGTCCTTCACTCCGCGTTATCCTTCACTCACTCAGTGGACCGAGTGTCCTCGTCACTTGCTCATCGGAGGAGAGGAGAGGAAAGGAGAGATGAGGCAGTGAGTCCTGGCAGTGCTTCCGCTTCCGATGACTGCACAAATCGTTGGTCTCCTTTTTTGCAGCTCCATTTCCATTTTTTTTCAGCAGCTTTTTGCTTCTGCTCCTGCTGAAATGACAGAAATTTGTCAGGAAACAGTTCGTTTTGTTTGGTTCTCGTTTGGCGGCACTCACCTGACTCACCTGCTCAACTTTTTGTCCCTCAACCTCGCCTTCCTGAACCTTTTTGTTTGCTTTGGCCTGAAAGCCAAAAAGTGCTTAAGACTACCCCACTTCATGGAAGCTGCAAAGCATCGCTAAAAAGGACTTCAACAGAAAATAAACGAATAGGAACACTTATTTGCAGTGATTGAAATGTATCTTATATTTTCAAAATGTACATAAAAGGTACGAACAAGTTCAATGGGCATTAATTCGCTTTTCAAATAAAAGGGGGGTAAGTAATTATAAAATATTTTTGTTTAACTCGGGAATAGGATGGATATCATATTTTTGCAGTTTTTTTTATGTCAAGGCAGTCTTTGGTAGTTAATAAATGTTTAAATATTTAATAAATTATATTAATCAATATTTAAGAAATATGTAAATAGTAATAATAAATAAAAGTAACAACTATTTCTTGAGCATTTCTTATTTCCCCCGTAAGTATACTTTCTAACGACGCCCATGACCCATGTTGTCCTTGCATTTCTGCCCACCCACAGTCAGTTAAAGGATTCCTTTGGAACTGGCAGCGTGCGGCTTCAATAATTAAATTTGCGACATTTCAACGCTCCGGCGATCAATAAAATGGAATGGAATTAACTGTTGTCAATTATCCGTCGCTGCTTTCATGCCTCTAAATAGCAAATGCAGCAAAAGCAAAAACAGAACCAGAAGCAGCGAAAAAGTAAAAAGCAAAGTCGAGCGATTGGATTGCCGACAATAAAATGTCACTTGATCGCTGCATTGGCGCTCGTGTCCAACTGAATTTAGGCATCGCCGGCGGTGGTCACTCTCTGGAAGTTGGATCGGTATTAAAGGGGGGAGGGGGATGAGGAGCTACACAGCAAAAAAAAATAGGGGACAATCTGTCATTATTCACTATTTAATTTAACCATTCCCAAAATAAACTGTTTTACAGAAAATTCTTAGAGACTTAGATTTTTATTTTTATAAAATTCTCCTAATAACTTTTAAATTATTTTTTAAATCACTAATGTTACCAAGTTAATTGCCAAGTAACAATATTAAAAAATTTTATTTTTGACTGCATAAGTATCGAAACCCTAAAGATTTCTATAGCCCCCCATTTGTATTAACTTTTAAGGTTTATTTGTTAGATTGAACTAAATTTTGATCAAATACCTTATATTTTAAGTATTACTCCAAACAGTTGTATTATATGTTTTCAAATTTAAGCTTATAGCTTATATATTTCTTACACAGTTTTGTTTTGTGTGTGACGTTGGGTGGATAACGAAGAGGCAGGGTGGTGGTGCTGGTGGTGGTGGTGGTTGCCTGACCAGGTGGCGTCGATCTACCGCAACGCTCGACCACACAAGACGCTTAATTTGTTGCAAGTTGTCCGCTGTCTCCGCTTGACTCCCCATCAATCAGCGGCCGATTCTTTAACTGGAATGGTGCAAGAACAGGCAGAAGAATCGCTTTTTGCGACAGTCCCGTTTCATCGAAAATTCAGAGCACGCGAACTGAAGCATGTTCCTTCGATTTCCCTCTTCATCTAAATCTTTGCATTAAGCTTTCTTTGAAACCCACAAAAGCTTCTAATGGTTTCTTGGGTGTTTTTTATGACAGCAGAATTTAGGTAAAAGAGAGTCAGATGTAGTAAAAAAGAGTAAAAAACTGTTTCTTCAACAAATAATTTATTTAAGCTTTGATTGAGAGAATTGAAGCTCAGCTTGCACCTGGTTCTTTCCCAAAGTCAAAGGTTGATTCATGCTATTATACCTCGAATGAGCCATCAACTATAATTAGTGATTAACTGGGTTCAAAAATCTATAGAAAAGATAATCAACAAACTTAGCAGAAACGTGTAGTCAAGTTGACTTTAGAATGTACTAAAAATAAGTATGTTCCGGGGTAAAAACTATTTTAGCTTCCAAAGATTATTTATATATATTTATATAGGGGTTAGTCTTTTTAGTCCCATGCAGCGACTAATGGAAATAAGTAATACAAATTTCATTTAAAAATCCCAACTCCTTGCAGACCAAAATCAGAATGGCAAAAGGTAAATCATAATATATGCATAGTTGAAAGATTCAAGTACTTATGATGAATTAATCTCTTTACCCGAGAATTCCTTAACCTTCTTGTGGCCCTCCCCTAATTAACCCTTAGCCGCGCTCCACACATGCCATCCACTCTAATGAAAATCTATCACAGTCAGCGCAGGTCCCGGTGAAAAAGTAAATTCATTACACTTTCCCAATTATGTGAGATACATTTTAATAAAGGCGGCGGGAAAAACCGCATCTTAATCAAGTAAATTAATAGCAGCGAGAAGGAGCGAGTTGCCAGTCAGAGATCAAAGTAATTAATTATAATAATTAAAAACTTTTCGGCAGTCCTTGTCTCGCTCGCTCTTTTAAACTGAAGTTACCACAAACTTTTCAACATATTCATGTAGAGGAGCGAACGAGATGAAGTGTGTGTTCAAAAGTGCGTGCACCTGTTGAGATTTAAGCAATTCCCCAAGCAAATCCCATATTCATATCTTGTGCTGTGCTCTTCTTACTCCATTTTTTCTTCTTCTTTTTACATATTTCCCGTTTTATATCCTTTTTGATGAAAAATAGTAGTTTTGTCACCGGTGCTTTTGTTGTTTTTGAGTGCACTAGTTTTTTAATCATCGCTAACAGCCTTGGAGGCTGTGAAATTCCGCTTGGCTGCCCTAATACACTAAAAGCATTTACCAACACTGCCTGCCACGCCCCCAGTAATACGCCCACAAACGCCCGATTAACCCCCCCACGCCCACAATTGTTTGTGCTCAGTGGAGCAAGTACTGCGCACTTAGCGCTGTCCCTCTTTCACTCACAGTGGCGTAGGAAGGATATTCGGGGTTAGAAACTTCCTTCGAGATTTCATAAACATAGTAATCCTATTGTAAAATACATTTTGAAATAGTTATTATTGGGTTTTTTCTAATTTCACTATTGGTATAGTGAGTTAATTATATTTACTAAATATAAAGTCATTTACACTCAAAAAAAATATAAAATATCTTTTATATTAATTTGATTCGCGTTCCAGTGTAGATAAAACCCACAGTCTTTACTTTCAAAAAATTAATACAAATTTAAATAATGAAAGTTTTTTTTTATCATATAAAAGGCAATAAACTGTATATTAAAACCCAATTTTAAATATCTCAAACCCCTTTAACAAAAACATGCACACCTCTGGCTCACTCACACTGTCCATCTCTTTTTGCTGTGAGATTTAGCTTGAAATGAAAGAGGATGAAGGATATACACAGGATGCAGGTTACGGTACAGAATGTGGGATGCAATCATCTAGAGTGTGCAAAATAAAAAAAGAGCACTTCAAAAGTGGAGGCGACCGCAATGAATAAGCTGCGACATCTGGAAGGGGCGTGGCAGTGCGCCCACTTGGAAGCAATTAATTGACCCCACCAAATGGCAAACAAGAGGAAGAGAGGAGGAAAAAAGTGAAGGAGTGATAGAGGTGAAGTAACTGCCTTTCTTTACATCTTAACATCTGTGGTGAGTTTCTAAAAATCCTAAAATAGTTATTGATAAAAATTTGATTTAGGAGTCTTGTTGAACCTTGTGTTAAAAGTATTAAGTAAAACCTAATAATAATAATGCAATATGTTAAAATTGGTAGAAATGTATAAAAGCTATATTTTTGTTTCGAATTAATTATATATATTTATAGCTCGATTTCCCTCCCACTATAGATACAAAACGCGGTTTTATTATTTACTTTAGTTTAGTTTATTAAAGTGGACTCCATTACACTCAAAAGTAGTTAAAATCTAAGGGGATTTCGTCCCGTCCTCCTTTAACCAGAGTAGGTGGTGTCGGTCTTCTGGACATTCAGGACGCCTGATTCATCGGTGGCACCATGGACGGTGGTCACCTTCTGGTTGCCATTGGCATCGAAAGTGGTCACGGTCTGATGGATTTGGACGGCGGGGGCGGCTCCAGATCCATAGCTGCTCTGGTAGCTGTTGGAGCTACCGCCTCCGGAGTTTGTGCTCAGTGTGGCGGCGGTGTTGTACGCGCCATTGTTGTAGTTGGAGTTGTAGTTGTTGCTGTAGTTTGGGTTGTAGTTACCGTTGTTGCCCGTTGCAGAGTCCTCACCGAAACGGCTTTCAAAGTTCACGCTGCTTTAAATAAATACTAACATTAGTAATCAATGCTCTCAACACAAATACAAATAATCTTATACCCCTTAAATACAAACATAAAATGATTTACTTTTAATCACATTGAGATATCACAAATATACCAATTGCATTTTAGGTTCAATGGGATGATTTTAATATTGTAACCAAAAGGCAATAAATATTAAGCTCATTTATATATATTTTGTTTAATAACTTACGCAAGTGGAGCAGCAGCCTGCTGGGAGTAAGAGGACCCGGATGAGCCAGAGCCATCAGGATTCTGAACGAAGTGAGAGGTAGAGGTGTATGTTCCGCCATTTCCACTGGAGGAGGAAGAGGAGGATGATGAGGAGGACGAGCTGTACACCTGGCGACGCAGACGCCTCAGCAGATGGGCATTAACGGGATGAACATCCGACTGGTGACCCTGCGCATCCAAAGTGAAGAAGGCACGTGGCAGGAACTGACCAGCTGGAAGAATATTAAAATGCTAACTTGTTAATCAGAACAATAAAAGCCTTACAAGGAAGCTATAATATATGTATATTAAAATCATCATCATCTACATCAAAACATTTTAAGCTCCATGAAATCTGATTTGTATAATATTAAAGTTTGTCACAAAGTAATCTTAATTATTATTAGTTTCTATAGAAAGACAAAACTAAAAGAAGAGGGAAATATTAGTTTATATTATTCATATTATTAGTATTAATTATTATTAGTTTCTATAGAAAGACAAAACTAAAAGAAGAGGGAAATATTAGTTTATATTATTCAAATCTCATAAACATGATCATTGCCTAAATATATAACTCTAACACTAGAAACGTGAAAACCAAAAGACTAAATTAAATATGACTTCTTAATAAGCATTTGGTTTCTTCGGGAATATTCTAATTTAACTACTTATTCTTGAATCTTCCCAATCACCAACCCCGAAAGTATGCTAGCAATACTCTATTCCAAAACAACTAACATTTCTATTTCTATTTTGAGTGTGAAAGTTTGTCCACTCTCTATTCACGTGAATGACCGAAACTAATGCGAATATGAATAGCTAGAAATTAATAAAAGCCAAAAATAATGTGCGGAAAGTTTCGATGGGCAAACATTTTGTCGCTAAGATAATGGGCCAGCTAATTTCACAAACCAGTTCGTATTCCGGATGGGTTCGATAGGTTTTTGGGTATTATTAACATACCCGCACCCGTCGGTCGACTTGTTAATCAAATTAATAATAAACATGATAGCAGCCTTGGCTAGCGATGATGTAATTGCGATAGCAATCGGGCTTAAGCACTTTACTAAGTATAATTAACTTTTGACATACCGGAAGAGGCCGAAGCGGCAGAAATCGCAAACAATGCGATGGCAATCACAGCGTATTTCATTGTGGAGCGGGGGGGGAATCTGTGAAAACACTTGAACACTTAGTATGGGTATTTTTTAGGGGATCAGAGGGGGCTTTCTATGGCTCAACACTCACAAAGACGAACGAAAGACTGAGGCAGCGAACGCGTGAAAAGTTCCAAAACGACTAAGCTCGCGGTGCGGCAACCCAGCGCTTTTATATGGAAATTTTTAGCGCTGACGTAGTGCGAACCATCAACATGATTATCATCCAAAAGGTGGAAGAACAAGCAGAAGCCGTCAAACAAGCAAAAGAGTTAAGCAAATAACTCCACCGGTAGAATCAACAATAAACAAAAGAAGAGGCCAGGCTATTAAAGATTTTAAAACCGGGCTCACACTCATAAAAATAAAGTTAGGCCCAGTGATTCATACGCTTTAATAATATTACTTCTCTCAGTTTCAGAGAGTAACTCTTGCCAATACAATATTTCACACAGATAAATTCCCCAAAAAGTTAATGATAATGAAGAATACATGACTGAGCAGCCAAAGCGCCAATTGGGAATTTCTGTTCTGTTTGTTTTCACTTTATTTGTATTTCGCCTTATATTCAACTGTCTGTTGATCTGTTTTGGCCAACTCATGTATATATATATTGGCCAAGTGCCCTCGCTCTTCCTCCTTGTTATTTTTACACACACATCGCCCAGAGCTCTGTTTTTGACCCGATTCGTGTTTGGCCAACAAGAAGTTCTCGATTCATGCTTTTTTTTCTTGGGGCAATAACCTGATTACAACGTGGCCAACACCTAAGCTACGGAGAATCAAACTTGCATGTATTATAATTGTCTAGCACAAGCTCTTAGCTTACCTTAATTTGTTTAATGGCTAGCATGCGTCTACGAATTATAATAATATTTGAATTTTAATCAGATCTTTGAGGGTTTCTCCTCTCCATCTGTTAGAAATTGAACTGGTTTTATCGTGTTTTTGTTTGTTTTCGTTTTCGGCCAACAAAATTAAAACAAATCTTGTTATACAATTTTACATTAACTTATGTATTCCAGGAAATCCTTCAAGTCATTAGACAACCGGTTATTAGATTATATGGGCTTTTTTATGAGACTTGCTAAACAGTTAATTTTACCAGCTTAAAATAAAAATTTATCTTTGCAAAATAAATAAGTCCCAACACAAATGAAAAAGAAATTAATCTTAATCAAACCGTAATAAAAAAAAATAAAACACCATGCTTATGAATATATTAAATGTGATATAGAATTTGGTTAAATGAAAAGAAAGAAATTATAATTTAGCAAACTTTGTAATTGAAGAAAGAAACATTTCGAAACTTAAACATTGTGTGGACAAAATATTCCATATTTCTAATATTTCATGGAACTGCAACCCTCATTCCTCTTTTTTTTGTATTTATTAACGAATTCAATTTCTTGGATTTATATTAATCTAATAGAAATCCACAAATTTGCTGCCATTTGTTGTAGACAAATATTTTTGAATTTCGCACACGTTCTTCGGGCGAAAATATGTACCAAAATTGAATACGAAAAAGAGAAAGAAGAAAACCTTTTTCCGCAAAAATGGTGACAGAGCAGAATGCTGACCGCCTACTAGGAAAGATAATCCCTAGCCGATTTGAACGATTTATTATTTGGCCCAGCCAACTCGGAGCCCGTCCGAAAACCCGGAACCATTAATCATCCGCGTCCAGATCCAAGTCCGAGTGGTGGACACTCGGCACTGCAATTGGTGGACATTTTGGAGAAGAAACTTTTGCGGTACGTGGCAACGTGTTGAAATTACAAAATGTGTTAAAAAATGAAAGAGCGGTTGGCGGGGCGGATAAAAAGCAAAATAAAATATTTCATTCACACACAGGCAGACTTTTGTCTCTACTTGCCGTCCATATAAAAAACATAAATTTCCTTTGAGAATAGAACTTGTGGGGCGGCAAGGTGATTATGTTTGACAGCCGGCCTGGGACATAGAGCCCCGCCCCTTTTTCATCGCCAGACAGGACATGGGTACCAGTAGCAGGACCTGACCAAAGTGCGGAAATTGGCCAACTATTTTGTTTAATTCCACCACTATCTCACTTTGGATTCTCAACTAAAAAATATACAAAACAAACCTATTTAAAACCAAATAAAATGGAATTTTATTTTCTTTAGCCTTCATTAAAGCTTTTTCATCTTCTTTGGGGAATTGCAAAAAAATATGAATAATTGAAACAGCTGAAGAAAATAATATAACCAAATCAGAAGGTCAGATCTGTATTTAATGTATAACATTTTTGTTTTTGGGAGGGGCGACTGAATGACAATTTGCTTTTTGGCTTCAACCTCCCTCAACTGAAATTGATTTTCATTGTTTTTCGCCTAAAAATACACAAAAGAGTCGAGAAAATTTGCCTCTGATTGTCAGCTGAATTACCCACACAAATTCAGCTGACAATCAGAGGCAAATTTTTTTGGTTGGTTGGTTGGAGAAACCACTCCAAATCCACTTCACCAGATATGTCAGTATGGAATCACGAACCTCGCCTGATTTCTCCAGTGATTTTTCGCAATCAACCTGATGAGGATGTGCAGAGGACATACTGGATACTGATGGAGGCAGTGCTATGATTAGTATCCTTTCAGCCAGGTCAAAAGTGACTCTCTCGCATGCCAAGTGGCCTCGGCCAGATGAAACTTTAATGCGGCACAAGGACACAGGGCAAAAAGAAGCCGCCTGATGAACTACGTGATGGTCAGAGAGTTCCTAGTTACACCTGCAAAAAATGTAGATCTTAGGTTGACATTGCCATAAAAGGTGGTAATTAAATTAAATCACCAAAACTAACTTAAAATGGGTAAAAGATCCTTAATCATGCAAGTATTTCATTTGATTAATTTGATTTATTTTTGTCAACTAAACAGTTTCTGTTTTTCTAAAACTTCAGCTTTAATTTATTTACTAGAGATAATAATAAGAACTTAAGACTATCTAGTGGGACCGAAAAGCTGTAATAGTAAATCTTGCTTTAAACAAAAACTTTCACTAATAAACACAATAAAAAAACCTTCCCATATATTTTGTTTTAAAAATATTTAGTCAATATAGAGAAATTTGATATAAACTAATCTTTGTCTTTAGCTCTTTTTAACATTAATAAATAACTTTAATTAACATTAAACTTCATCTAAACCTTTATTTCAGTTAAGCTTTTAAAGGGAATATTTATATTATTATTTTTAAATGAATTTTATCATTTATTTTTAAGTGTATAAGAATAGTGAGCGACAAAGTAAAATGCATTGAGGTTGGTGGCGGAGAAACGCGACTAGAATCTGAATGTTTTACCCAGCCTACTCCCACTGCCGATTTATAGCATACAACGACTAGCATATGCCAGATATAGTCAGCATATCAATGGCAATAATGTACTTGGTCCACGAGTATCTTTATTATCCTGACTGCTTGGCAATTATTTCCGACTATTCTGCGCTGTCTTGTTTTTGGGTCCTGGGAAAGGCAAACAAAGGATATTTCGCGCACACTCCTTGGACATGATTGCATCCGGCCAGGAAGCCCTGCGTCATGTATTCTAGCATCCTTACATCCTTATATCCTTGCTTCCTTCCTGCAGATCCCTTCGCCAGCCTCATCCGCAATTTTCACGCCCACTTTGTTTGATGATGACAAATCTCGTTGCGTGTTATCAGATTGGCCAACTTGCCTCTCCCCTCCGGATTGCATAATTATGTTTATCTTTGGTAGCTGCGCTCCTGCCACGTGTCCTTGGGTTTTTCTGGTTATTCTTCCGATTTCCTCCGCGACCTCGGAACGAGCGGCACGTGCTAATCGGCGGTCGTCTGCAACGCCCATGCACCACCCATCCACCCATTCGCCCCCCTTGTAAATGCACTACCGCCCTACATGGCCGATAATTGAAATCGCTAAGCTGAACATCGGAATCGAAATGGCTTCATTTATCAGGTCAACTCAATGGCAGCGCATAATGTCCTCCAAGAATTTGAATTGGGGAAAGGGAGTGAGTGGGAATCATAATGTATACCACTTAGCTCGATTGAATTTGTTCATCTCTTGTTACCTAATTAATGAAAGTAACTAATTTTTGTTATTAATAAAAATGTGTATGCTATATTCATACGCTTTAATTAACAGATTGATAGATAGATAGATAGACACATAGTCTAAACCCACTTAAAAATATATATTTGGTAATATCTGAAGGCACTTGCCAATTTTCATATTTTATCCATATTATTTTTGGATACCTTTAAAATTAGAAAATAAACCTATCTGTATAATGTTGACAGTTTAATTCTTCATAATTGGTTAATAGAATGCAAGTACTTTTAAAATTGAAAAACTGTATTTTAAATTGCAGGTTTGCAAATAACTAAGAAACTAATACACTTTAAGATTTATTGAAGTTATTTTTAACGTTTAAAATAATACGTTTTAAAGTTATTTTTAACGAAACTTTTTAATACCAAAGCAAGTATGTTTTACCCATTTAAACAACCAAATATTCCTCGTTTTAAATGAAATTTGCTCATTTGCCTTTAAGGACATCCTTCGGTTAATGAGTGCACTCACGCCCACACCCACGCACAACCGAATGAGTGTCGCCCTGCGGACGCATAAATTATGAATAAAAGCCTCACACACGTGGAGAAAGAGAGGGGGATATGAAATAAGAGGGAGACGGGCAGCTACAGTCTGAGGCCAAGAAGTGTGCTAAATATTTAAATACTTAAAACCATAAACCTGAGTATTTATAAATTGACTTTAACAAGCTCATGTGTGGAAGTATGGGATGTGGGTGTGTCTGTGGCTGACCCTTTTTTTGGGCACAAGGATCTGCTCGACTCCGTTCATTAGAAATGCTCACTAATGTGCCCGACTTAATAATAATCAAATTTATATGCATGGTTATGTCCTTTAGAGCAGGACCACAAAACTGAAGTTTCGCAGGACTTTGAAGGGGAATGGCAGATGGATTCCCTGAGAAAACGTTGAGAATGAGACGAAGAAAAGTGTCAATATCCTTGTTTTCCCCAAAAACTTCTGGCCAAAAGTGCAGCTGTCCAGTATCGAAAGTGTGGTTTGCAACACGCCCAAGTCCAGTACCGTTATTTCGTTACCAGCTTCTTGTTTGTCTGCTTGCTT